TTAATTCAGGGATCAATAATTCAGAGATTATACCCATTGCCCCTGCCACCTGCCCAATTCTAGCTCAGTCTCATTGAAATAGCTGGGGTTAGGGGCTGAAGGATGGAGGGCATGTTTATAGCTGAAATCACCAAAATGTGTTTTGCAAGGTTAGTGTTAATCGGATCTGTTCCGCTCTCCTGCTCGGATATTTTCTCTGAGGATCCCGGAGATAGAAATGAGTAGGTGTTACCATCTTGGCTACCAATCCTAAGGGTGACAAAACTAGGAATTCTCAAACTGCAGGGCAGGCCTCCCAAGGGAGGCACAGGAATGTGTCAAGAGAAGTGTGACCTCTGTGCGTTGTTTGGGTTTTTTTTAAAGAGCACTGGCTGTTAGCTCCAGGTGGTTGGGACTTGTGAAGAAGGAGGGATAGCTCAGTGCTTTGAGCATTGGTCTGCTAAACCCAGCGTTGTGAGTTCAATCCTTGAGAGGGCCATTTAGGGAGCTGGGTCAAAAATCTGTCTGTGAGTTGGACTAGATGACTTTCTGAGGTCCCTTCCCACCCTGATATTCTATTCTATAACAGGCGTAGCTGGGAGGTGGGGATAGATGTTCATGCTCTTCACCTGAAGATGGGAGAAGTAAGGGTGTCAATGGGGTGATAAATCTGCTGTGAACAGTGATATTGGTGAATATCACTTTTCACGTGGCCACCCTAACTTCTGTGCTGCTATTGGAGTCCTTCAGAGCTGGGCACCTCACCAGCAACTACTCTGCCGTTAGAGCTGGGTTCCGATATATGTGCTTGTGAGGTTGGGGGTGTAAATGACAAAAGACATAAAGAAGGGATGGGGGCGGAAGGGGGGCTGATGAAACACATTTGAGAACCACTGGTCTACACTATTATGGGCACCACGTTTATAAAATGATAAATCTTCTCCAAAGTATGTCTTGTGAGGTATCATAGGAAAAGTCAGCGTCTGCTGAATATTATTGTCCCTTTGAAATATGTCTATCAGCACTGTCCACGGAGCTCTGAGAGTTTGCTGTATGTTTGTTACATGCTGTAAAGCTGGAAAACGCCCACAGACGAGCTCCTCAGAGACAATGGTACCTGCACACCAGCTAGGTGCTAAGTTGCCATTAATTACTCAGCCGGCCATTCACCAGCTGTGGAGCTGGGAACAAGAGAGTTACAATTCACCGGAAGGATGGCTGGACGCTCACTTAGGCCACAAACTGATTGTCGCCTGCCCCTCGGCTGGGGGGTGAACCTCAAAGAGGAGAGTGGTATAAAAGCACAAGGGAGAATTGCCTCCATTTTTACCGCTCCTCTCCCATCTTTACAGAAGTCAACAATATGCCTTGAAAGGCAACAGGGGCCTTGGACTGGGGAGGACGGACCAAGGCTAGAAGAAAATTCAGCCTGGGTACTAAGAACTGTGAACTGCCTGCAACAGCGGGTGGGGTGGGAAATCCTGTTTGTTTTGTATCTTCCTTAGTTTGGTAAAATTTAGGATTTAAAATGCATTTTTATTTTTTTAACCCCTTCTGACCTTTTACATCTTTCTCCCTTGTAATCCCTGAAAACACTCTTGTTCCAGTTTAGTGTTTTGTCTGGACTGTGTGTTTTCATTGAAATGTTTGGGGGATTGACTTGAGAGAACAAGGCTGTGGCCTAATCAGGCCCCTTTGTGGGGATGACAGACTGAGCAGTCCAAGATGCACATTCCCGGGGTGCAAGGCTGGGAGTAGAAAACTGGCTGATGTTGCTGTGTCGACTGGTAAGTTCCTGATTGTCTGGCTAGTTGCACTCAGTATAGTGCAGCCAGGAGTGACTTTGAATGCTGGTGGCTGTGTGTGAGCAGAGCGTGGAGGGGTTTGTTGTTCACACAGGAAAGCAGTGTAAAAGATGCCCTGGGATGGAGAACTAAGCAGTTCAACAGTCCAGATTGTACCCTGGGGTATGTCTCACACCAACTGTCTCCTGCGACCTAGCATGGCACCGTTGGGTTTTCATCATCCTGATTGTAGTGTATTAAACTGCTCCGCGTAGGAATGTGCTACTGGTAGCAGTTACTGATACATAATGGATTGTAAGAAACTGCTATTGTAGTAAACTGCTACCTGATGTAGCAAATGCCTACTGGTAGCAGTTTCTTGCACTATATTATATGTGAAATTGCTACATGTAGAAATGTGCTATCTGTAGCAGTTATTTATAGGTATAGATTGTAAGAAACAGCTTTTGTAAAAAGATGTTACTTCCCTCATGGGTCATGTTTTCTAGACCTTAATTTTTTTCCCCTCTTCTCTGGACTCTCTCCAATTTGTCCACATCTTTCCTGAAATGTGGTGCCCAGAACTGGACACAATATGCCAGATGAGGCCTAATCAGCGCAGAGTAGAGTGGATATCCCAGAGTGATGTTCTGTTTTTTGCATAGATCCCTTTCCAGAGTATTCGTATTCAGTTTGTGGTCCAGATCCCTTTCCGCAGTGCTCCTTCCTTGGCAGTCGTTTCCCATTTTGTGTGTGTGCAGCTTGTTATCATTCACAAACTTTATAATTGTGTTCTGTATGCCATGATCTCAATCATTGATTCAGATTTGGAATAGAAACTTATCCAGAACTGATCCCTGGAGAACCCCACTCGTTCTGCCCTTTCAGCCTGACTCAGCCCTTTCAGCCTGTGAATCACTGATAACTACTGTCGGAACTGTTTTCCAACTAGTTTTGCACCCATCTTATTTTAGCTCCATCTAGGTTGCATTTCCATAGTTTGTTTATGAGAAGGTCATGGGAGACAGTATCAAAAGCCTTACTAAAGGCAAGATAGACCAGTCTTACAGATAGCATTTTCACACATACACATGTAAGAAATTGCCGCATCCCCGGCTCCGGCAGCGGCCCTCCCCGGCTGCCCGTCTTTGGCCGCTGCCCTCCCTGGCTCCGGCCGCCCTCCCCGGCTCCGGCCTGGCCCCGTGGCTCCAACCACCCGGCTCCTGCTGTGGTGCGACGCGGCCGGGCTCCGGCAGTGCGGGTCCGGGCGCGGCGACGGCCATGGCCCTCCCCGGCTCCGGCCACCCGGCTCCCACTGCGTCCTCTGGTCCCGTGTCCCCAGGCTCCTGGCTCCGTCCGCAGCCAGACTTAGTGCCACCAGCCACTCCAGGCAGCACGGTAAGGAGGCAGGGAGGGGGTGTTGGAGAGAGGGCAGGGGAGTTTGGGGAGTGGTGGGGAGGTGGATAGGGGTTGGGGCAGTCAGAGGGCAGGGAACAGGGATTGAATAGGGGCAAGGGTCCCGGGAGGGCAGTCAGGAAGGAGCAGGGGTTGGATGGGGTGGTGGAAGGCAGTCAGGGGCAGGGGGTCCAGGGGCAGTCAGGGGACAGAGAGAAGGGGTGGTTGGATGGGGCAGGGGGAGCATCAAGGAACGCGGGGGGTTGGATGGGGCAGGAGTCCCGGGGGTTGGGCCATGACCCCCTCGTGGGGTGAGGAGGGAACCAGTTGTTACGATTTTGGCAGCTCATCACTGCTTTGACTGCCAGATGATGGGAGTGGACAATGGGATGGTTCACTGAGTCATTGCCTGGTCTGATCATTCCCTTAGAAGCACCTGGCCTTGGCCACTGTCACAAGACAGGATACTAGATTAGGCAGACTATTGGTCTGACCCACGATGGCAGTTCTAATTTTCTGCAAAAATTACAATAGATTTTTTTCCAGGGAGAAAGACGTTATAGGAGATAGTATACTGCCTTTATTGAATGTTTGAGAATCAAGTTGTACACAGTGGCATGCGGAAAAACACTAAGGGCTGGACTGAGAGGCAAAATAACAGTTGCAAAAATGCAATCCCCATTGGTGGATTGACTCAAAACAAAGTTTTGACACTAGGCCAGAAATTCAGTCACCTCTAAAATGAGAAGAAAAAATTAAATTTAAAAATTC